ACAATATATTCCCCAGCCTTCCTTTACTGCTCCAGCTGTGTCTGAATTTTGATCGCATGATCATGGGGATGCTGCAATGGTTGTGTGAAAAATGATCATAAGTAACTTTTTCAATGACGTAACTTCAAACAATTACTAAACGAACTGTTGAGGACTACCTGTATTTTTTTCTCTTATTAGCTACCAATATTGAATGAAAGGAATCTCATCCAGGTTAAGTACCAATACATAGTCCAGTGGTTCTGAAACTTTTCTTCACCATGAACCTCCTTTAAATATATTTTGTGACCAAGGAACATGGCTATGGAAGCCCAAGACTTAACTCTAAATTGTAACATTCCTTCAAACATTTGTGGCCCTCCTGCACCTATATCAAACATGAAACTCAGCCAACTGAATAAGATGTTTCAAGTAGCACAGTTTTTTGCAGTTGCGCTGGTGTTATTGCAGGAAGCTGCAAGTTGATGTATCTTGTAAAATTCTTGGGCATGGTGCCAAATGCCCTGATGACAATGGGTATCACTGTTACATGCTTCATCCATAGCCATGTAGTTTTGATAGATGATTATTATTATTTATTTATTTAGTCAGAAAATCTGAAATCACAGTTATCATTTTTTTAGTTGGTATCGACCTTCATATCCATCGAATTTTTCCTAAGAATCTAGGATCCTAAAATATATGGGCATAGTACAGTATATGTGCAGATCCAAGCAATCTGACCTTTTATAATTGATAGATCGTTTTTTTTCAATGCATTTTCTAAATGCTGACCAAGATTTTTTGGTATGGCATCCAGTATACCTAAACAATTTATTATAATTATGCATGGTAATGTACAATCAGATTCACAGTATGAGATTGTTGGAAATTTAATAATTCAAGACTATCTACAAATGATGGCCTGACAACAGTGCATTGGAAGATCTGCAAGAAATTCTATTTGCTTGCAAGCAAGAGCTGGTGGGGCCATAAAATAAAGTAACAGAAGATGAATAAGCTAAAGTGATATATGTTTTTAATTCAAACAGACAAGTCCCTGCCATGTTAACAATTGTCAATAAGAAAGACAAAAAAGTCTGAATGTGGCAGTACCTGGAAACAGCAGAATAGAAGAGAAAAAAACTGGAGAAAATAATAAAATAAACAATAAAGACCTGCAAATATAGGAAGAAAGATAGTGGCAAATGAAAGCAAAGATAGTACCAATAATGGTGCAATCTCAAAGCATCTGGAGCACCACTTGAACACCATTGGCTTTGACAAAATCCCTATCAGTCAATTGCAAAAGGCAACTTCACTCAGAACAACTGACATCCTGTGACAATACCTTTAACACCATCAAACATATCTATCGTAGGTTCTTGAGAAGGAATTGATAGGAATGGATAAAAAAAATCAGTGTAAAAATCTGGCTGTAGGATGGACCATAATAATAATATTTCATGTCAAAGGAATAATAATATACATGCTCATGTTAAAGNTGAGCTGGTAGTGGCAAGCTGTCCATGGTGAGCTGTCCCATTCCATAACCAGCATAATTACTGGTGATTGTGACTAGGAATAGTAAGAATTACAGTCAGAGCTATCTGCAACATACTTGATTAGTTCAATTAGTTCAAGTATTTTCAGAATAAGTTTTGAAAAACTTCATTTTGTGTGCTGACTCCTCTTCCCCACTAACTTTTACTTTCACTTTTGCGTAATCATATCTTGCCATACTTGTGCAGATCTGAATAGTTAATATTAACTGTGATTGATATCAGTAAGCCAGCTTCCAAAAACCTGTATGACATTGAATTTTTTTCAATTACTCAAAAAAAAAATAATAGCTGGCTTAGATGTCAGAAATAAAATATCTACCTCCAACCTTATTTGACTAATTTCTGTCTTTACAAATTGTCCTGAACTAGTAAATCTAGTTTTCATGTTTTGTTACTGTGGAATTGAAAAATTATCAGTCAGATAAGATTAATGTACTTTATTTTATTTTTTAAAAAAGTTGTTTTCTTGGGGAAAATAGCAAATATGCTCAATATAGAAGTGTGCTTTATTTAATATACCTTCATTCTACATAATCCATTGTTGTCTTTCATTTCTGTGACTAGCAATGAAAGACTTATATTGATCGATAACTGTTTTGCCACTAGAGAAGTCAGCCAACCCTCATTGCAAGAATATATATGGGAGATATATAGTCCCTTTAAATAATTAGGGTGGTGTCACCAGGTAAATCATTTTGTCTCTTTCTAAAATTCACAGAAGGTTGATATGCTGTTCTCATTTTAAAAATTACACTTATGCAGGGATATTCATAATTGGCTGACACCCTAATCTTTACAAAGATGATTATTCTTTACAATGTTCTCAGCCTGTGTGTAAGACACCTTTTTTCTTTTTTAAGATTACTGCTGTGGAAGAAAAGGCCAATGTAATGTCCAACTCACTACACATTTTCAATGCCATTAGTGGGACAGCAACAAGCACAACACTTCATGGAATGCCCAGCTCTTCTTCAATTGCATAACTGTCTTATATATGAAAGTACCTTGACTTTGGAACAAGAGGGTTTGGGGATGGCTTGCTAACTCAGGATGAAGTCAAAATTTGTGAAAGAACTATGCAGTTTCTAGTTATAGTATCAATCAGGTATAAGGAAATAAGACATCGAAAATGCACATATTTTTATATTATGCTTGCAATATTGTATGTTCTGAGAAGTATTTAGGAAAACTGATCACATAAGGATTTCATGAAGTGAATGGCACAATGTAGGCAGTTTTGGAACGTGTGTAGACACAAACTTATGAGAGTGTTGCTGAAGTTATGCACATATGAACTGATTAAAGTATTAACCACTATGAACTAAATAAGCACTAAACAAAGGTGTTAATGTAAGTAGAAGTAGCTTTTTTAATGTCGACTAACAGTTGTGCTCTATTTTATAACTTACTGGCATTTTGAAGAGCTTATAAGCTTAAAATGATTCAAGTATTTGCTTCCAATCAATGGTGACTACATATTATCTTAAACAATAAATGTAAAAGTTTGTTAATACAGCTTATAAAGTCTATATAAACGTACTGCATTTTAAATATTTTTAATATTCATACTCACTTTCATCCTTTTACAATTGTTGGATTCATGTTCATTCCAAGTAAATGCTCTATTTTCTTTTACATTTTATTTGTATATATAAAGTGCAATATGAAGTTGTATACACTTTCTGTAACATTATGTACTGTTTTAAAAAAACCCCTAATTTTGCCAAAGTAATGGAATATAAAAGTGGTGATAACTACTGTGGAAATGGTGATAATTTAAGGCTTTTGCTGTGTTGCTTGAAGACATGAGTAATTTTATACCTGAGAAAGATAAAGGTTTTAATTTTATTTAACTGGAATCACTGTCCTGCTGTAATTAAACATTATGTATAACATCTATATTTTTAAAAAAGTTTAATTTATGTGCAATTTATTTGGATCTTTTTATTTTGCAAAACGTATCACTAAAATCAAGTATTACATTATTTTAATAAATGATATTTTCATATTCTTTTTTGACATAAATATTTGGTTTAGGTTTTGTGCTATTCTTAAGATTTGCAATAAATGATACTACTCATATGTGTAATTTGGAAATTCTGATTTATTATATAGAGATGTTAATAGAAATTATTACCATGGCTAGATTTCTTGACGTTTAAGATAGTTGTTTAGTTAAGTTCCTTCATATATGCCTTAGAAATTTAATGAATACCTACTATTCCATTTTTAGAATAGTTTTAATTTCTGCAACAGAGTAGCTTTAATTTGTGCAAACAGTACACTGAATTCAATGTTGGCTACCATTATACGGCTTATATTTTTAATTAATGAAGAGCCGAGATCCAGCTGAATTACAGAATGCTAAAGGAACTTACTGAATATCTAGTTGAACTTTATACATTTTGATCCTGGACAATGAATGAAATTCAAACACAATCTTCAAAAATAGGGAAAATGAAGATTCATAGAACTAGACTGCTCAATTCTAAGAAATTTCCAAAGCAGATAATAAGATACTGATCAATATGTATTTTCAAAATAATATAATTCTCAGAAAATACTAGAAGTAATTTCATCAATTTCTTAAACTCATTTGTGTGAAATTACTTTAACAGATTGTTTCCAAAAATATTTGAAAAAGTACCCTACAATGTTTTGACTAGCAAGCTAGTTAAGTGATAGTATGACAAGTGAGAATTTATTTATTATTTAGTTTATGGCAAATACATGGACTTACAGTAGCTCAAATGCCAATGTCCAGTCCACCCAGCCATTCAAGGACAGGGTGGTATATGCTGAAATATATCAGACGCTGGGCCAATGTAAGCTCTCGATGGACATTCGGGCAAAATGTGATGGATATTTTGAGGAGGAGCACCTCAGTCACACTGAGGAGTAGAGACAAGACCCCACTTAAACAATGAATCCTGGCAGACACCATGTTGGGTATGGAGCCTGTTCAGGAGAATTAATTATCTCATTAGGAATCATCAGAATTTTGCTTATGTACAACATAAGCAGGAAATTAAGTTTCTTTTTTAAGATGTATTCAAAAAATAAGTAAAGCTCAGACAGCTTCAATCTTAAACTATCTACCATGGATCTCACCCCATTCCTAAGAGGTCCGTGAAGAGGGAGTGCATAAGCGCACCAGTACGCCTACCATCCTTATCCTACTGCCCCCATTTATTTGTACTCACTTCCTTTGTTCATGTCCATGTTTATACTTATACCTGTTATCTTGTACATGTTTTGACAAACTAAATAAAATAAAATATCATGGGCTACATCAGAAACAGCTAGATTAGGAAATAAGACAGCTAGCATAAATAGTTAATTAAATATGTGAATAAATGAAGTGACTGCTGTATTTTTCCTAACAGTCATCAACTAACTATTAGAGTCCCAAGTGCTGAAACTGACTTCTTCTCACCT